AGAAGTTTTTAAGAAAAGGGAGAACTACATTGTGCTGAAGAATTGTGTCCATCAGATAGTGCTCCTGTTCATTCTTGGAGGGGCTGTCCTTTGGGGATTCCATTGGGAAACCTTACCCATCCACCCTAGAACCTGATCTTACACTATACACTATACACTAAAAAACTATTTTTTTAGTTCCCCAAACTTTCAGAATATTAAAAGGAGCATGAGTTGTGTCCCTCGAGGGTGCCCAAACTGCTGCTTGGCACGGTGCAAATCGAACAGGGCAGAATTATTCAGAGAAGGATTGGAGAGGTGGACATGCCACCTTCAGAAGTGTATACACCTACATGGAGGATATGCCAAGAAATAAGAGCTTCACAATTTGCTACTCTTATTTAATAAAGGTTTCTATGATTCTGTAGCAATACTTTTTAATATCCCTCATATATTTTATGTACATAGACACATGTACCACTGTGCCAAGGCTTGCTCACTCTACACACACACACACACACACACACACACACACACACACAGTGCAAGGTCACTTCAAAAACCACCAGCTACTCATTGGCAAAAAAATGAGACTTTCTACTCCTATAAAGATTTACAGTCTCAGAAACCCACAGGGACAGTTCTACTCTGTAGGGTCAGTATGATTTCCAAACTGGCTTGATAGCAGTGAGACTGAGTTGTGTGTGTGTGTGTGTGTTGATTGATTAATTTACTTTAGGAATTGGGTTATACAATTATTAGGGAACTGGTAAATATAAAATCCACAGGTCAGGCAGCAGACTGGAAGCTTCTGTTGGTTTTGTTCCAAGATCTGTAGGTTAGGTGTAGGGAAGAATAAAATAAGAGTACTACAAATATATCAGTTTATTGTCTGGAGGGCAGATCACATTCTGGGGAAACTGCCTTTTCAGCTGATCGATTGTGTCATAGTAGATTACATTATCAAAGGTGAATATATTTCATTACATCATAAAAAGTAGTTGATTCTACCCATTGCCAATGGTTTAATTACCTGTGACTGCTCCATCCATGGCAGAATCTAGACAAGCACATGGCCAAACTGGGAAGTTGACACACAAAATTGTTACAGCATCACAGAGATCATTTAAAGGAAATTCAAATATTGCTGTGTTAGTGTACTATTTTGAATCAGTTGATATTCAGTTTCCCCCCCACAGGGACTTCGAGGAAGATGACAACCCAGACTGGGTATCAGAACTGAAGAAGCGAACTGGATCACAAGGAGAGGCTCTTGGATGATGCCCTCAATGTTCCTTAATTTTTTAAAGAAAGAACAAATTCTTGGATGATCATTAGTTGAAGGATATACGGTTTTCTTTGGAAATAGAATAGAAAGTGAGAAGCTGTGAATATTTAGAATCATTTCTGATTAGTATCACAAAGTTTAAAAAAGATTGGAGAACAAGTACGAGGTTTTGAACTTGAAGAACAGCAATTGGTTGTTAGATCAACCGCTGGCTAGCTGTTTGACTAGGGAATTAACCTCTCTGAGCCTCAATGAGGACAGTTAAGCCCACCTCAGAGGGATGCTGACCAGAGACCACGCACCATCGCAAAATGTAGTCATGGTTGGTACTTCTTGTGCCTTTCATTTTATACTTTCTAAGAGATTAACAGCTGAAATGCATTTAATTTTAATAGATCAGTGTATGAAATTTTAAAATAAGACTGACCGGGTAGTTTGTGTGAGCTTCACTTCATATGTCATCTTTACCATATGTCAGCTGCCCGAAATTCTATTATGGACCAAATTGTATTCTCCTAAAATGTGTGTTGAAATCTTAATCCCTGTGCCTCTAAATATAACCCTGTTTAGAAATAGGGCTTTTTTTGTTGTATTAATGAGGTTATATCAGAGTAGGGTGGGTGCTAAACCTAATCACTTTTGAGTTATGAAATGAGCAGAGTGAACATGCGGCATAAACACGGGAGAGAAGCAGGTAGATGGCAAAGGCGATACGTCTACAAACCCTGGAGCACCAATCCTGCAGCATGCACAGAGGAGCCCAGGTCAGAGATCAGTAACATGCGCGTGGGTAGACTATAGATTTTATAACAGAAGATAGTCCTTCCAACAGAGGCAAGAAGACCACGGGAGTAGATGTGATAAATGTCTACAGATAGGGAGTGGTGTGTAACAAGTGCTGGGTCCTATCACGTGCTACTCGTGACGCACACATATTTCATTAAGTAAGCAACAGACTGAGGTGCCTTCAGTTTTACAGTATCAGGTAGAGGGAGTGTTCCCTAAGTAGACATTGCATTCACACCAATAATACATTCAGGTAAGAGAGATGCAACTACTTCATATAAGATCCATGTAAATCTTCCCTCTCTCATACAGATGTCCACTATTCTCTCATCAACCGTTGCATTCCCATAAGCTCTGAGTCAAACCTTAGGCCCTTTAATATGCATATGAGGTGATTGAAAGTACCATGGCTTGTGTCAGGTGCACCTTAGTCCTCAAAGTGAGAAGTGTGTAAACTTGGAGGATATGTTTAAAACCAATAGGTTCACTTTTTGTATTGTTTAATAAACATTCCTGATTTTGTACCAATACCTTTTTATTCACCCCCTGTGGTACAGTTATTTACTTACTGAGAGGTTGGAGATGGAGAACAGAGATCGAATTTAGCCAGGGATGTGAAGTTGAGAAAGGCTTTATTGAGGCAGGGAAAGAACTCCCGGGAGGGAAGAGAGAGCAGAGAAGGACGGGGCATCTAGAGCTCCCAGGCAGGTTCTGAGACCCAACGAGTTAGGTCAGGGAAATCGCGCCTGGCAGTGAGGCAGTGGGACATATATCGGGCTTGAGCCAAGGACGTGTGTGCTGACGAGGGGAAGGAAGGCCTCTGGGGCTGTAGTGGCAGGTCTGAGTCAGGACGTGTCTGTGAGTAAGTCATCCTGGAACGCTGAGGGAAGAGGCTGCGCAAACCGGGCCCAAAGAGATAAGCTCCATGGAACGCTGGAGGCAGGGACTGCATAGTCCCCAGCTCTGGCCTTGAGAGGCGAGGGGGGGGCGGTGCGGGAAGGGGCCGCACAGTCCAGCAGGCCATCTTTTGGGAGAGCTGGGGGAAGCAGCTACATGGTCGGGACCGGCCCAAACACTTACTATGGTTCTTCGAGCCATCTCACTGCCATTAAGTCAATCATGTAGATTTCATGAAAAGAATGAATCTGATCATTCTTGGAGGGTAGCTAGGGCTGTGTCCTATGAGAATTTTGTTGGGAAACATTAGCCCATGCACCCCCAGCCCTGTTCTTGCCCCTTCACCCTTCTTTTTGTTCTCTAAAGGAACACTCTTTTAGTTCTTCAAGGATGGCAAGACTGCCATTTTGATATGATGTAAATTGAGGAGCACGGAATCCTTTGGGGAAGGGTTACAGAGAAAGAAGCAGAACACTGCCCTGGAGGCAATTCCGACTCACAGTGGCTATATAACTGTCCCTGTGGGTCCCCAGACTGGGAGAACCTTCATGTTTCTCTCCCGCAACTGCTAATGGGTTATGCCTCTGAGCTTGTGGTTAGCAGACCAACTTGGGGCATACTGTGCCACCAGGGCCCCTAAAAATTGGCAAGAAGTAAAATTCTCACCATTTTCAGATAATATCCCATACGTAGAAAATCCCAAGGATTCAGGAAGAAAATTATTGGAACTAATGGAATGAGTTAGCAAAGTGGCAAAGTACAAGACCAGCAGATAAGAATGAGTTGGATTCTTTCATAGAGAGCTCTGAAAAGAAAATCAGAACTACCATTTACAATAGCCAACCCAAGGATGAAATATTTAGTAATAACTATAACCCGAGAAACAAAAGACCTACTACTACAAGAAGCCAAAAGAAGCCTACATGAATGGAAAAAAATATACCATGCCCATGGATAGAAAGATTTAACATCATAAAAAATGTCAATTCTATGTAGATCCTTATAATCGGTTCCCCCTTTTTACCCCATCTTCGCTCCACCCTCCTGGTATCACCACTCTCACCACTGGTCCTGAGGGGTTCAACTGTCCTGTATTCCTTGTGTTTCCAGTTCCCATCTATACCAGTGTACATCCTCTGGTCCAACTATATTTGTATGGTAAAATTGGGATCATGATAGTTGGGGGGAGGATGCAAGGATCTACATATAACCTCCTCTCTGGAGGTTGGACAACAGTGGGTGAAGGGAGACGTCGGACAGTGTAAGATATGACAGAATAATGACTTGTGAATTATCAAGGGTTCATGAGGAAGTTGGGAGTGGGAGGGAGGGGAAAAATGAGCTGATGCCAGGGGCTCAAGTGGAAAGCAGATGTTTTGAGAATGATGATAGCAACAAATGTGCAAATGTCCTTGACACTGGATGGATGGATTGTGATAAGTGTTGTACGACAAGCCCCCAATTAAATGATTTTTTTAAGTCAATTATAAAAAAATAAAAATGTCAATTCTATCCAGAGCAATTGACAAATAACAATGCAATCTTGATCCAGATTACATCATTTAAAAAGGAGATGTAAAAACTAATCACCAATTTTAGAGGGAAAGGAAAGAGACCTTCAGAGGCACAGCACTACTGAAGAGGAACAAAATGGGAGACACTGGGGAACAGAAAAGTTATTCCCCAGGCTGTCCCCCCATATTATATGCCAGACCTAAGGTGCTGCTTGCTAACACATGGTCAAAGACCATACACTTGGAGTTAACTGCATAAAGGTTATCTCCCTGAGGGTTATCTGCCATCTAGAGCAATCAGACCCTATAGTCTGTCCCACCCGAAGTAGGGCCCACTCCCTTCTGAGAAGGGAAATGGATTGCTCCCCTGAAGGAGAGCCTCAAAGACTACAGCCAACTCTGGGTGGAACAAGGTCAGGCTGCCATCTTGAATCTAGAGTCTGCCCATCTTGTCACTTGTATAACCCTAATGCCCCCCCTTCCTATTGTGTGTACACCCTTAGCTCATCCCCCACCTGTTGCATATATGCCTTATTGTACAAACCCTTCCTGTTGCGATGTAATTAGGGGGGCTTGCATGCACCCTAAGTGTATATAAGCCTTGGTTGGAAATACATTCTTGCTCTCTGGACAGATCTGGCTGCTGAGATCTTGGCCGTCTGGGAGGTGAGCAGTTACATGCTTTATCTTGTCTGATGTCTCTTTAACCCCTCAATTACACAATCACCCCTTGGACCCGTTTGATTGTGGGGGCTGGTACCCCATAGGAGACCTCTTACCTTCTGATCTCAAAATACATGACATCGTCGTAGTAGTCAAACCAGCCTGTCACTGGCACAGTGACTGAAAAAGAACGATGGAATGGAATTCGAAATAGAGCAGGCCACCCTATGGAGCATAGTTCTACTTGGACAGGCCTAGAGGTGCCATGAGTCAAAAGTGGACTCTGGCAATTGATGTTCGTCATAGAATGTCCTTCAGTTTCTCTCATGATTAGACTGAGGTTATGAGTTTTGGGGACGAACACCACAGGGAAACTATCCTTTAATTGGGATTTTCAATATCAACCTGACTCATTACTAGTGCTGTTAACCTTGATGACTTGATTAAGACAGTATCTGCCAGTCTCTTAAACTACCAATTTTCCATTTCTAGATTGTATTCACTGGAAGGAAGCAAGTCAATAGCAGCCAACCTGTACTCTAATGGAAAATACCTAAGTTCTACCTGCTGGGGGAGGGTGGTATCTACATATTTATGCTATCTGTTTATATCATCTAAAATCCCAAACCAAACTCACTGCCATCCAATCCAACCCAACTCATAGCAGCCCTCTTCGATAGAGTAGAACTGCCCCGGGGCAGTTCTGAGACTTAAATCTTTACAGGAGCAGGCAGGCTGTTTTTCTGCCATGGAGCAACTGGTGGGTTTGCATTGCTGACCTTGCGGTTAGCAGCTAGATGTGTAGCCTAATAAGCCACCAGGGTTCCTCCTCGTCGTATGAACGCGTGTACGTTTTATACTCGAGGTGATAATTCATTATGAAGTCATTCATTTTGTTGTTCAGCTTACCCTAGAGTTAGCCATTGAGCGTGCTTTCGGGTTGGCGCCTATGTCCTTCTAACATATTCCATTCCTTTTCTGTTTTTTACATTTTTCATTCTTTTTAGCACTTCTTTTCTGGCACTACAAAAAAGTGCTCCAGAATCATCTTGTACCGTCTCTGAAAACAGTCCGAAATTCAACCATTTCTCCAAGTTGCCCTGGTTTCTGTGGTTGATTTAGAGACCAAGAGTTGGGCACGAGTTATGCTTACTGCTATTGAAGTGCCACTACTTCTATGTCCTCTCAGCAGTTGAAGCTACAGAATGTATGGATGTCTTCTACGTATGTCTTCTACTTGTATATGCACACATCTACAATGTATACAACTCTCGTTACATCTGAATCAATAATGTTGAGTCTATTCTGATGTCTCCCGCTCTAATTCAGCATGACACTGAATTCTAGCCTTCCCTTTTCTTACCTTATAGGAAGAAACCTGGCTAACAGCATTTATCATCCACTTACTTAGCTTAATGCTCAGCTGCCAACCAAAAGGTCAGGGATCAAACCTACCAATTGCTCCATAGAAGAAAGATGTGTCAATCTGCGCTTGTAAAGATTTGCAGCCTCTAAAGCCCTAGTGAGTAGAGACATGCTGTCCACTGGGTCACTGAGTTGGATCAACTTGGCTGCAATCATTAACTCAAAACTCTGTAAGAAGCAGAGTTACCCACTGTTTAAAATCTGAACAATAGGTTTGCAGAAGGCTACAGTTTATTGTGGGTGCCCTAGATTCCTTGAGTCTCCACATAAATTCAGCCTCCATTGAGTTCTTTCTGGATATTGACAATGTGAAAAGTTTTGGCCTCAGCCAAAGTGTGCTCAAAAGTGGGTTTCACCCTCAGGGACTTCCTTGGGCAGTTCTCTGTTCTTATACTGCTGCAACCATTTAAAACTGATCCTCAGCAAAACTTCACTAGCGTATGATATTAATGATGTTGGATAATGTCAGCATTCCATTGGATCTCTGGTATGATCGATGGAATGAGCATACACATGGATCTCTTGTAATTGCTTGGCTAATGTAGCTGTCTCCCAGATTTCTTTCCAGTGTTATGTCAGTTTGTTGAAACATCTCTCAGAATTTCAATTCCAGGAGCTCTGGTTTTACCCCCGAATGCCTTCAGCGCGACTTCCTTAAATGCCATCTTGTAAACAAATTATGTATGCTGCTTCCTGAAATGGTTGCTCTTTGACCCATTCTTTTGGGGACAAGGACTATATTCCTTTCATCTTCCTTTCCTGCATTGCTCAATATTTTGCCATAAAATCCTTTTCATATAACCCTGAGCTTGAAGATTTTCTTGTTATTTCAGCCTGAGGCATTGCCAAGCATGTACTCCCCTTTGGGTTGACTAGCTCTAAGTCCTTGCGCATTTCATTGTAACGCTTTACTCTGACGACTTTCTTCTGTGCCGCACTTGGAAACCTTCTGTTTGGCTCTTTTACTTTACGATAGACAGGTTTCAAGGGGCTTCCAGACCAGACAGGCCCCGATGGTCTACTTCTGAAAC